AGCTCAAGAACACTACACTCAGTTTTAGGTATCTCCTGAGAAAGAACAAACAAGCTGAGCCTCAGAATAGAGAATATTACTTTGAAGGTTTTTATTTGAGGGACATTAGAAGAGGGTGAGAAAATTCTACATGTGCTTATCTTTACCTCAAAACTGGTGGATTTAAGCAGCACTTCCAGAGTAAAGTTGGCAACCTGACAGGCATTTGGAATCCTGGAATGCCTGACAATGTAGTTGACCACCGTTTTTCAGTATTTCCAATTTTTCAAACTTTTCAAAGTATATTTGAATGAAAGGCAGAAATATCAGAGTCTTCTCCTATCCCGACACCCTCCTACATAACATGGCTTTAATGTGAAAACGCTGCCAATATTGATTCTAGGAAATCACTTTACCAGCTTTTATCTGATTAGATGGCTTTGGAACAATAATGACTTTGTGACATCCTATTGATTTTGCCTCTAAAATGTTCCTCCTATCTTGTCTCTGCCTCTTCATTCCCATTGCCACTACCCTCTTCAGAGCCCTCATTATTTCTTACAAATAGCTTTTTCCTAAGTGGCCTCCCAAACTTAGTCTCTGCAAACAAAGTCATTTGAAATTCCACTGCTGGATTAGTCCATACATAGCACAAATTCTGATTAGGTTATTTCCTTACCAAAAAATGTTTAAAGGTTTCCCATTGCTTATACAACCAACTCCCGACTTCTCAGTCTGACATTCAAGGACTGCCCTGTGTTTGGAATATTGGACTGAAAATAACTTCCACTCAGAATTTTGCAGACATTGCTCCACTGACTTCTGGTTCTCAATATTTCTGTTAAGAATTCCAATGCAGTCCTCCACCCCTTCTTCATATGTAATCTACTTTTTCTTTCTAGAAGCTTTTAAGATATTTTTTAAGTCTCAATGTTCTGACAGTTCATGATGACGGGAAGTGATGTGTAGTGTGTTGGGAGGGGAGGGGTGTCTTCTGTCTTTTTTTCATTCACTGTGCTGGGAATTTGGTGGTATTTCCAATGTGGACTTTTATGTTTTCTTGTTTTAGGAAATTTCCTTGTACTATTTCTTTAATAATTTCCTCTCCAATTTTTTTTTTCTATGTTCTCTTTTACTAAAACCTTTTGGGTTGATTTTTCTCATTTTCTGTTCCACTTTCTGGGAAAGGGACGTGACTTTAGCTTTTATATTTTTAATTTCCAAGCTCTCTTCCTTGTTTCATTGGTGTTCCTTCTTGCTATTGTCTCACGGATACACAATCTTATCTTTTGAAAATATTCACTATGTTCTGAAGTTGTTTTTGGCTCTATATATTATCTCTGTTTCGTTTGGGTTCTTTTTCCTTCCTCCTATTTATTTGTCTTTCATGTTGGAGACTTTCCTCAAATATCTGGAGAATCTTGGCTATCTGTTTTTATTTAAGAGTAATGCACTAAAAAGCTCAATGGAAGCTTTGTTTGCTGGAGTGGAGCTTATAGACTAATGAGGCTCATTGTAAAGTACTTCCTGGCCAGCTCTTTAAAAAAATAATTTAACATCTTTATTGAGATATAATTCACATACCATAAAACTACCCATTCAAAGTATATTTCAGTATACTCAGAGTTGTGGAATTATCACCACAATCTACACTTAAAACATTTTCATCACTCCAAAAATAAACTTCATGTCCATTAGCAGTCATTCCTCATTTATCACCCTCTGCCCCCACATATCGCCAGCCTCTGGCAACCATTAATCTACTGTCTCTAAATATTTTAAAGATTTGCCTATTCTGGACATTTCATATAATTGGAATCATTATATGGTCTTTTGTGACTGGCTTCATTCACTTAGCATACAGTTTTCAAAGTTTACCCATGTTGTACCATGTATCAGTACTTCATTCCTTTTTATGGCCGTATCATATTGCACTGTATGAATATATTGGTTTTTAATTCTTTCATCAGTTGATGGACGTTTGGGTCATCACTATTTTTTGGCTTTTAATAATGTTTCTATAAACCCTGATGTACAAGTGCTTGGGGTGACATATGTCCTTTTTCTTATGCACCAACTACAAAGCAGTGATGTAAGAAACTCAAGAGAATATAATCTTTTGGTAATCCAATTCAAGAATTCCTGTAGGTTATCTAAAGCAAAATGGAATAGAAGAGAGCATTCTGTTTGAAAATAAGAAAGTGATATTTAGTGCAAGTTTAAAAAATAAAGTACAACTCGTGTAAAAACTATCTCTTTGTCTCCCTCATTTACACAGGATGCTGCAAAGCTGGCTATTGAATTGGGAGTGTTTTAGTTGCTGCACAACCTCCTTGTTCTTAAAAAACCAATATTCTGAAAAAAATTACCATTCCCTTTTATTAAAATATTTATAAAATGATTTAAATTCTTATAATGATAAAAGCTGCAGAATAATAGGAATCTAAGAAAAAGATATGAGGAGAAAAGATCAGTTTTTTAAAGATAACCTTAATACAAAGAGGTATAATAGAGATAATGAACAATACAATTACACTGCAAATTGAATAGACTTGCAAATTTCACAGAACACCTCTAATGTATTTCAGGGATAAGGAGAGTAGATAAAGCAGTAGTTCTTATCAACTCAGTATGGAAGACACATTTCTTCCTCTACAAAATGAGAGTAATTCTTTCTGGCAAGTCTACAGTCTGCTATTACAGAGATTATAATCCATATTTTTGAAGTTTGTTTTGCAGATAACTGAAAACAATGGACTTACTGAAACAAAAGAAACCCAAGTATAAATAAGAGTATCAAATATGAAAGGCAGATATGAGTTCAAATGTGACTTTGGGCAAGTCTCTCAATCTCTTTTGCCTTAGTTCCTCATCTGTAAAATGAGGATAGTAATAGTAGTACTTAGGGTTGTATTACATGAGAAACTACATTAAAAAGGCTTGGCACATAGTCAGTATTCAATAAATACTGATGATGGTGATGATGTGTCAAGATACAATAAGTGCTATTTCCTAGATTTTATTTATTAATGATGGAATATGAAGTATTAAAAATGTATCCATCCTAGCACACATTCAATGATTTTGGAAGGCTGTTATCATTAGTGAGCTATGCATTTGGGGTTTACTCAAGCTGGTAGGCCTAGTTATTGAAATCCAGGCCTCCTTTTCATAGATGTCTTCCAGATGCCACTGAAAAGCAATAAGACCTATTCCATATGCTTAGAAAACATAGCAGTGAAGAGTGGGACCCTGGAGCCAAACTGCCAAAGTTCAAATACCATTTTTGCCACTTATAGGATTACTAGAGGCCCGGTGCACAAAAATTTGTGCACTGGGGGGGGGGGGTCCCCCCAGCCCCCCCTG